GAAGCCGGAATCTCAGAGGCCCAGGGCAACGTGCCAAAACCAAAACAAAACAAAATAAATACAAAAAAAAATTATAAAAAACAACAACAAATTTATCAACAAAAGAATATAAAAACCCATAAATCATATGAGTTCCCAAACAACTCAAATAAAACAACAAAAATAATAACCAACCGTGTAACCTTAAACAAAAAAAAAAATTTAAATATAAAAAAATAAACAAAAAAAGCACACACCATTTAACTTCAAAATTTTGAAAAAACAAAATAGACTTTTTTTTCTCTATAGTTTGCATATTATAATTCGAACGCAAATATTATTTAAACAATAATTTTTCATGTTGCCCAAAGTATTTGCCTTCTTTCGAGCTTTTTCCCTATAATTTTTATTTTTGTTAACGAAACTTTGTTATTCCATCCCGTTTACCAGCTTCTTTCTTTCCCGCGCTACATTTTTCTAATCAGATTCCGTATTAAGCCGAAGTTAAATAATAATCCCTTATCGGTTATAAGATACCTTATTCAGAATCGTCAAAACAACATAGATAATCGGTAGATAAGTTCCCTGTCCTTGCATAAAGCGAAAACAAGGGCACCAAAAGGGTTGCCTAGATTAGATTTGGCTCGAAATCGCCCATTTGGCGACAAAATTGACGATGTGCCACAGACGGAACGAGAACATTCTAGATCAAATTTTTACCGGTTTTCCCTAGAATGTTCTTGAAGCCAGGTCAAAAGTTATATAAACCCTTCCTGTACGAGGAGTAGTCGCAGTGTTTAGCTATTTGAGTAGAGTAGCAGTGTTAGGCGTGGAGGAAGGAAGTATCAGTAGTATTATTATGTTGGAGTGCCATCATCGTTAGGTAGTGCCTGCTTAAAACCGTAGTTCTCCGTAGCCGTACGTAGCTCGTGTTTCTTAGTTCAGAGCGACCTCCTCCGATTCGACGAGTCGGCGAGCTGCCACTTTACTTTTACTGCTTATCACGCTCTGTGAAGCTCTGTCTGTCTTCACACCGTTTATAGCCTGATAGGCCTTGAAGGCCCCCCTCCCCCCTCTTGGCGGTCTCGTTCTCCCTTTGTTATTACGACCCCTCCTCTCTGCCCTCCCCCTTCAGACCCCTCGTTGGTTGTTTTCTTCTCTCTTCCTCCGCCTTCCCCCCACTATCCTCCCCTCACCCCCCCCTGTGTGACCCTCGCCGGCGATCTCTTGCTCCCATCGTGCTTGTCCCCGGGTCGTTGGTTCTCGCTTCGTGTTTTCTGGGCCGGTTCTTCGTGTGTTCTTCTGTTGTAACCCGTGTCTTTGGACCACCGTCTTCTGCCTGTCATCCCTTGCCCGCTACTACCTTATACCTCTGTTCCCCCTTTTTGACCTCTATTTCACTGTATGCCAGGCCCACTCTTCCTTCTACTCCCTTGTGGTTTTGCTTCTTGTCCTCATAGTTTGGTGTTTGTTGTTGTTTTGGGTCACCATCCACTGCCCCCCTCCCGCCGCCCCCTGTTTGTTTGGTGCCTTTTGTTCGGTCGCCCCGTCGCACTTGTTCTCATACCCCCCCTTTTTTCCCATACCCCCGTTATTCCCGCCCGCCATCCAATTCCCCCCCCCCTCTTTCTCCTCGTGCTTTTCTTTGATAATAGCCAGCCCTCCCCTACCTCCCAGGCGTTCCCCCCGTCCTGTGTGCCGTCCTCTTTTTTCTGCTCCCCCTCCATGTCTCAGAGCTTTTTTCTTCCTTGCCCTGTTTACCCCGGCCTTTCTTTTACTTTCTTTCTCCCTATTGCAGTCCTCCTAGTACTTTTTTCCTCACTATATGGTTTTTTTTGTGCTGTGTCTCGCTTCTCCCCTGTTTTCCTAGTTTCCCTCCTGTGATCTTCCATGTTGGTTTTTTTTATTTTCCTGGCTCTTGCAAGCGAGTGTTGTGTTGTCGTACTCTTTCAGCCTTCGTCGAACACTCCCCACCATCCGATGGCCCTCGCATTCTCCCACGACACCCTCCTATAGTTTCGCCCTGCCTTGCCCACATCCCCCCTACCTTCCTCCTTCCCCCCTTTTACCTTCCCTTTCACCCACATCCCTCGCCCACTCTGACCTCCTTCACTGTTCCCTATTTCTCCTCCGTGAGAGTCTTCAGCCCATTTCCTAGCAATCTGTCCTAACCCCCCACCCTCTCCATGTTCCCTCCCCCCCCTGCCGCGCCCCCCCCCTACCCGTCCCTTCCCCTGCCCCTGCTAGGTGGCCCTGATTCCTTTTATATGCGGCCCTACCCCTCGTCAGCATGAGATCTGGCCCTGTCCCCTCGCCTGTTTCGACATGCTCCTGTCTAGGCTGAGAGTTCGGCTTCCCTTTTTGGCTTCTCGCCTAGGGCTCTCGTTCCGATCGCGCCTCCCCACTATTTTCCCCCCACTTCCCTTCACCCACACTCCTGTCATCTCCCCCGCCCACGTGGGGGTTTCGTCTTTTTATCGCGCGCCCCCTCATTTCGGTCCGACTCGCTCTCTCGGATCCTGAGATTAGTCCCCCACACCCCTACTTTTTTTTTTTTTGCTCCAGTATGTGCCCCCTCGCCATAGCATCTGGGGGGCTCACGCCCCTCGCAGTCGACCCCCCAATCCCACCCTCTTTGCGGTTTTACCCTCTTTTGTCCCCCCCTACCCCCCTTCCCGTCAGATGGGTACCCTTACCCCTGCTCCCCGCGTGATCGACACCCCATTTTGCCTGTGCGTCCCCGCTTCTTAGCCTTCGCGTCGCCAACTCCAAACCCCACCCCGAAACTCGCTCCCGGTTGTCCTCCCCCTTTTTTGCTTCTCTCTGTTATGCCCTGGTGAGTGCGCACCGCCCTCGCCCTTGCTTCTCCAAGGGGGGACCCTCACATAACACACACCCTGACCTTTTGCCCCTTTAATACACCCCACACCCCGCCCAACTTAACTCCACGCCCTGGTAGGGACGATCCTCTCGCGTACGGGCAATCACATGCCATCCCTGGCAAGCAATCTCCTCTGGAGCCCCTCCCTACCACTCAGTCACTACACCTCTCTCATCGGCATCTTCCCGACCCCCCACCCGGACCCTCTTATGTTTATTCTTCTTTCGCACTTTCCCCATCGTAATGGCTTTGGACCCCTGTGTGAGACAACAACGAACTCTTGCTTCTTCATGTTCTCTGCTTTCTTGATTCTTCTTAACCGGTCTTGGGCGTCTTTTTGTGGCCTGTTCCTCCCGACTACCAGCATACGCACCAACAGTTAACACTCTCCAACGGTATGTTTTGGGCCAGGGTCCGCCCACTTAATTGCTCTTGTCACCATTCGTGTCACCAATAAAATTCCCAGTTTCCATCTATATCCGCACTCCTTAAACTAAATGACCATGCTTCCACTTCATCGCATGAGACGAGTGAGTCATTCTGCGTTGCTGCTTTGTGCTTGAACATATCACACCCCACAACTACTGTACCCCCATAATTGGTTACCTATGTCACCCCCAGTAGTTTCACTCTCCCGCGACATGCAGTTACACTGTACAACATGGAGTCCTCGCACCAGACCAAAGATAACACGAGAGGCCCAAAAATACCAGTTACGATATATCTAGTTTCTCCCTTTTACCGCACTTTGGCGTAGTTTAGTCTTAATTTGGTAGGATTACAACCAGACTCACTCCACAACAGTGTTTGATTTGTTTTTTAGTGTTGTCATAGTGGAGCTCAATGGGGTTGGAGGCTCTCTTGTGGGTGATTGCTGGAGAGAGCAGAACACCATACTGATCAAGGAAATCGGGGGACTTATAACAAAAATCATTGTCAGACTTAGAACTAACCGGCCAGAGGACAGAGGACGGAAAACTGACAAAGAGGGTAGAAACTTCAGAAAATTCTGTCCAGACCCAGAACTGACAACTGCATACATTTTTTATTATCCTACCATCCTTGCTGAATTGCTAAAAATTGGAATCTTGTCATTTTGCATATTACCAGAGCTGTCATCTTCGCCCATGCTTACTGAATAAGCTTATCATAACACGACAACACGCGGGCGCGTATGGCAACTGCAATTCAGTTGACATGTTAACGAATTTCGCATACTGCGCATGCCCAGAAGGATTTGGCACAATACGACTTGGTACAGTCTTAACGTAACAAATACAGCTAGATGATATTCGTTATCTAGTTGTAACATCGAGTTTTTAAACTTTAAGTGGTGTTGTTGTTTCATTATTAGAGTATTAAATCGATTGTAAACGCACCAAATTTTGTTAAGATATTACAAAACATTGCTTTTTTGTAATCCTTACAAATACATTAGCTATCTTATGATTTACTTGTGATATAAAAGCATGCTTATATCATAAGTTTAATTGTCATCCCCTTACAAACTAATAATAATCCATTTAAATTCTGATTAAGGCCAGGAATTATATAAATACTATATAAATACGTTTATGAACAAAGAAAATGGAATTGAAAACAGAGCAATGAATTAAGCACAAACAAATTTTGGTAGTATTGCAATTGTAAACAGTCGATAAGACTTACATGACAAACAGAGTTGTGGAGGGTTGCTTATACCCTCCCCTTTAGTCGCCAGTATTACGTCCCACGCCAACGGTACACTACTGAGCATGCGCAGTAAGTGAAACTCGAGTTTGTGTAGGGTTGCTTATACCACCATTTGGTCGCCAGTATTTCCTCCCAGGCCAACGGTACACTACTGAGCATGCGCAGTAAGTGAAATTCGTTAACATTAATCAACTCAATGTGCGGTTTGCCATTACGCCAACGGGAACGAAAGACAGAATACGTCTCTTACTGAAGTAACTCTGACCTCAACTTAAATACTGTTTTCTACCTTGTTTGCATAAAGCGTAATACTGAAAACTCGTTCTGGTAGGAAAACATAAGTGGGAAAATAAGAATACAAAGAAAAGTTTGTCTTAAAATAAAAATAGTTATTATAAAAATAAAATAAAATCTCTACAAACTACAATAATATAATAATAATTCATACCATTAAATTTGAATCTTCCAAATGATGAAATAAAATCGCTATGAATTCTTTTACAATTTGTTTGCTAATTGTGTCTGAGCAAATCAGACTTTTTATAATCATTGTGGCATGTAAAACAGCTTCTGGGCATGCCATCACAGAAATGGTCTGCATCAATTTAATTAACGTTTCTGAAACAAATACAAATTCTTATGAACAGGCCTCTATAAATCAGACATGGATAAAACGATGAACGTTTACTCAATAATTACACAAAAAAGATATTCAGTTCTTTTTAATGAATGGGAATAATTATAAAAGCCTGCAAGATTTACACTGTATAAATCAAAATATAGTATAACTTCCCATGCAAGATAAAGAAACAAGTTAAAGAAAGGTAAAAAACAAGATACAAGATACTTTACAAGATAAAGATAAAGCAAGAATAACATGATTCAGATGTATAGGTGTTTGGCATATTGAAGTGTTCAATAAGAACAAAATTTAAACAATCTAAATGTCAGACATTAATGTAAAACTAAGTATATATATAATTCGGTAAAATGTAATCTTCCTGTGTAAAGGATTTTCGTTACCAGTAAAAAAAAAAAAAATATCAATAAATGCCACAGGAAGGGAGGGCAGGATTAGGAGATAGAAAGAGAGGACAAATATCAATCAAATTTTAAGACAAGGAGCCAGGAAAAGGAGAATTAGGACTCACAAGAAAGTAGAAGTAAGGAAGGCAATAAATTTATTTTTTTTACCCTTACAATAACTACGATAGATGATATTTATTTCAATTATGCAATATTATTAATATATGATTTATTAATTCATTTTATAAGAGAAATTAAATTAGCAAAACATAATTTTTAAAAACAATTTAATAATTTAGAAACAATTACGAATCTTTCCAAACATTACGGCAAACTTATTTTACTTATTCATACTCTATGTTGACATGCCATCGGGGGTATACTCGAATAATTAAGGATTCGAAAATCGTTTTTTCCTTTCTCTATAAAGATTAAATAAACTCTTAAAATATTAAAATATAAAATAAAATTTTTTAACCCCATCTCAGAGTCTAGAATATACCCTAACTCGCATTCAAACCTCAAGAAATTAAGCTTATAAGGTAGTTCTCCGCCTTCTTAGCATGCTTTTGTGGTGTAGTGGTCAGCATGCTCGACGCGAATTCAGTGAGGTCCGTGGTTCGAGTCCCGGCGACGGCATAGCTTATTTTTCATCTTTCCTACTTCAAAAAAATACCTAATATCTCTACGAACTTTAGAATTGAAATTTCAAGAAACAAATAAAAAGGAAAAAGCGCTTTTGTTGCAATAATGTTCAGAATATTAAAAACAAACTAGAAAAATATTCCAGAAATAAGAGATAGAATTGCTTGATAATTTTTTTACGCTAAATTAGCTATTCTATTTTTAAATTATTATAAGCATTTTGCTGCAAATAAGTATTCTATTCAAAAATAAAAAAAAATTAAAGAAAAAAACAAAATTAAAAAAATGAGTAATTTCAACTAAAACTGAAAAGTTAACAACGTCCAATATTCATAATAAAAAAAAAATAATTTAATATAATTTATTTTAAATTTTAACATTATCAATTTTTTTTTTTTTTTTTTTTTTTTTTTTTTTTTTTTTTTTTTTTTTTTTGTTTTTTTTTTTTAATTTCGCCTGCCTAGACTCTTTTCAAAGTACGGCCTTGCATACCAATAAATAAAGAATTGCCTCTGTAGTTGGGACAATCGTATAAAAAGAAGTCCGTTGAAAGAACATTCCCCAAAGCAGTGCAAAATTTTCAAAACTGGAAAATACTAAATGCACTGATTTTTACAGATTTTCTAAAGAAATATAAAAAGTATGGTAGAAGCTTCAAGAGTGAATAAAAATTATTCTTAGTTAAGTAACCAGAAATACCAAATTAACACCGGAACAAAGTACACTGTAAATAAATATATTGTAAGGATTATGTTAATTTTATTAACAGTTAAATTTTAAGTTAAAGTTCCTTTCCTGTCAAATTCTTAACTTCATCTTACTATTCCGGCCAAAACGTTTTTGGAATCTTGCTGAATATTTAATGAGAGGGAGCGGTATTTAACTACGAAGTTACTTACGTAGTCAGAGAGAAATCAGAGTTTCTGATTTACGGATTTACGCGCGCGTGGGCCTTTTTGGCCACCTCTCTCAAAGTGTTGTTATTATGCCCCGTACTCAGGCCTTGCTAGCTCGTAGTCAAATAAGTTAGCCAACTCGATTGAACCTTGATAGTCGGCTATACTTCTTTAGTTAATCTTAGCTTTAGTTAATTCTTAGTTTTAAGTTCAAGCCCAAGTGCGGCTTTGCTTTACACTCCCGGCGGAGTTTGTTAAATCTATTGGAATAAAAAGTTAGTTACTCTTCTATCTTGTTGTTTCTTGTCACTGAACACAAGCGATTATTCGCTTATCAGTTCTTCACTTCCAACATTAACTTAGAATTCCGAAGTGAGGAACTCTACAATATATATAAATACAGACCACAGTATATTTTACTATAATAACGTAGTGCATGTAGTATATAAGTGGCAGTTTAATAATTAGCAGAATCTTACTGCATGTGTAGGCTGCCAATTAAATTTTGTCACAGTGTTTGCATATTATGTTATGTATACAGAATTTGATGATGCTGGCAGTTTTGGAATGTCCAGTAATATCCACAATTCCACATTAAGCGCTAGTATACCACCAAAAACAAGATAAAAGATTTAGCCATTACATAAATCTAAATACTCATAAATGTGTAATTAAAATCTAAATTAGTAAGCACTACAAAACTCAATGGAAGATCATACCAGTATCATTTTATTTATAGCAAAATAAAATGGTACTGGAAAAATATTTAAAATATAAATTGCACTGATAATTTCACAATTAAATGAAATATATTTGAATTTCATTACAAAATAATGAGGTCTAATGCCTTTACTTACCAATTAGGTGAAAGTGTTCTAAATCTATTTCAAAATCTTTGGTCAATTTTAAAATGAATCTTAGAACCGTTGTCAAATTCTTATCTTTCAGCTTCATCTGAGAATAAAATATTCTTCATATTAAGCTATTGCGTATTTCTCTCAGAAAATAACAAATACTTAACATGCAGCGAGAGAGTAACATACATAAAGTAAACAAAAAATTAGATAAACAATATTTGTTTCCAAACTTCGACAGAATAAGACAGAGTTGATTAGACCATTACGAAATTGAATTAAAAATAATTAATGTTTTTTAATTTAGTTCGTTCAAATTAGTTTAAAAATTTTAAATATAAACATAATCATTAACAACTGTTGTTACAGAAATATCGTACTTTCACAAATGTGTGGTTTCAGAGCTTATGTCCGTTAAATTTAAAATAAATTTTGAATTGATTATTAGTCCAAAGGGTGTCCCTGAAGGAATATTGTTTTCGTTTTGCGATTTTGCGTTGGTTGACTATAAATGTCCGTTTCACTTTTCAAACTGTTGCCACCCAATGTTAGAGTCCTGCATTATATTTGAAGAAATTAAATAATGAAAAATATGCATTAAATATGTAGGTATATTTCTCGTATGTGATAAAACAACGGTACATAGAGCCATCGAATTTGAAGGACTAATATCCTACGAATGGGCATGTGGAAGAAAATTTGAAATTTGGGAATTTTTTTATTATCAATTTCATTTTTTGTGAAACTTTAACGAATTTTTGATTAACAAACTCAAGAATTTCCATGCGAGCAATGGCAACGTTGTTCAGAAAAAACATTTTTATCTCCAGCGAGAGAGTCTCTGTATCGGAAATTCTAAAGATATACTTCATTTTAAAACTATTTTGCGATATTGCTATTGAACTGAATTTTATGGTTTAAGTGCGAAGAACGTGATATTTAATAAATAAATGTAACACAGAAAAATGTTTAAAAAAAACGCCCAATTGGACGTAATTTAAAATCTTAAACCTTTCAGATTTTTTGTATTATTATTATTTTATTTAGTTAGATTAATTTTTAACATCTATCAAATTTACATACAGGGGTTGGACAAAAATATGGAAACACCTTTAAAAAACATGTTTCTTTGCTTAATATGGTGTAGGAAACCCGTTGGCATCCAAAACAGCTTGCAGTCCTCTCGGAATGGATGTTTGCCAAGGGAATATTATACCATTCTTCCTGCAAAACGGTGGCAAGTTCAGATAACGATGTTGGCGGTGGATAACGAGAACGCACTTTCCGTTCCAATGTAGACCACAAAGGTTCGATAATATTCAGGTCTGGTGACTGTGGTGGCTAGGGGAGATGGGACAACTCAGCCTCGTGCTCAGAAAACCAGTCCTGGACAATGTGAGCGTGTTGAAACAGGGGCTTTGTCGTCTTGGAAGACAACCATCACCATCGGGGGAACAAAGTTTGTACCATGGGATGAACTTGATCGGCCAAAATGTTCACATAAGTCTTGGCAGTCGTGTGCCCTGACACAGTTATCATGGGGCTAGCAGAGAACCACGATATGGCTGCCCAAACCATAACAGAACCCCGCCATGTTTCACTCTTGGCAACAAGCAGTCTGTATTAAGGCTTGAGATGGTGTTCTCCAGACGTAACTCGGCCAGAAGTGGGAAACACAATGTGAAAGAAGACTCGTCAGACCATATTACTCGCTTCCACTGCTCTATAGTCCAGGCTTTATGACTTAAAACACCACCTTTCCTGTTACGGGCATTAGCATCACTGATGAGTGGCTTCTCAATTGCAGCACGGCCAGCAATTCCCTGTTTATGAAGCTCCCTTCTAATTGTTTTTGGTACTCACAGGGTTCGGTAACACAAACATTCATTTCAGCAGTAACTTTTGCAGCTGTGGTCTTCTTATTTTTCGTCACAATTGCCCTTAATGATCGTCTGTCACAATCACTTCAGGACACACTTTCGTCCGCGCTGTGATTTAGCAGATGAGTTTTTCCGCTTTTCAAATATGCGGAATAAAATCTTCGATACAGTACCTCTTGAAACACTAAACACTCGGCTACCTTGCTTACGGAAGCACCTACCATACGTGCTCCAACAATTTGCCCACGTTCGAAGTCTGTTAACTCTGACATAATGCAAATGACAACCTGAAAAAACACATAACAGTACTCCGACAACAATGAACTGTTTAGCACATTTAATTTACGAAGTTGTATAGGTGGCGTCATAGTCAAAAACGCCAGAGCCACCTACATATTTCATTAAAATCATCTTTCCTTTCAAACATGCATTTCACAAGGTGTTTCCATATTTTTGTCCATCCACTGTACATTACAATAGAATTTGAATTCTCATACGTAATTTTCATCATTAATGAGAGAAATGAAACCAAGATTTGCTGTATTTATAATATACTACTTTCCTTCATGCTGTATTTATAATATAATTTCCTCTATGTTTTCTATTTCTTTTTAAACTTTGTGTGTATTTATACTTAATATGACCATTACTCAATGAATTTTCACTCTTAAATTATTAGACTCATTTTCAAATCTCTAATTTTTCATATCTTTAATTTTCAAATTTAAAAAGGACATGTACTTACTTTTAACAACAAGTTTGCTGTATGTAGGCTTAAAATAGGATAATTTGAATCTAGCAGTCTAAAAAGTAGTTTTAGAAGAGAAGTTCTGTTCTCAAACATAGCATCAAACGACCCTTCCATTTCTAAAATATTGTGGATTTCATGAATGAGGACAATCACAGCTTCTTCATCTTGCTTTCTAACTGCGGGCAACAGAATGCAGATACATTATTTGTTTAAGTTTCATATACGAGAGATTCCTCTTTATGATAAGACAAAAAAGGATTGTACTATATATTAATTATTACAAAAATATACTAGTAAAATTTTTTTTATATGTGATAGATACGGTATATAATGTGACATGAAAAGGATAGTAAAGAAATAGGAAACGAGTATTTATAAATCCATTCTTCTTTCATGTAATGCAGTAACTGCTGACTTTATAGATGATGTTTTAAAGAAATGAAATGGGGTTAAATTGCTTCATACTGCAACATGGAATATGATACAGTTATCCAAGCACTATTCTGTTTTCCGATATTGCGGGTGTAACTGGGCTTTCGACCTGGCAACTTCTAATATACTGAAAATATTATCAAAAAGGATAAGAAGGCACATAAACTTGTGCATCATAGTAGCATTAGTACAAATGGTCTTTCTGGACAACTAGTCAAATCAGTTAAAAATTTTTATAGCTAAATTTGTGGTCCTTGCAAGCTAGAATACTTATGAACTGTAACGCGAATTATCGCTGAGTTCACTTACTTATAAAACAAATTCAAAGAAGGGTTAAATTCATCTTTTATTCCAACTCAAAATAGGTTAACAGATGGCCCCTTCTCGGTCTTAAAATAAGCCTTCACTTGGGCTTTAACTTCAGATAGAAAATAAGAAACTAAGGCTAATCTTTGGAATATGGTAACAGGTAGTTTGGCGACATTTTGGTACGGCGATAAAGGTTACTATCTAGGACTTTAGCAGTGTACATGGATAAAGAGTGTGCGCAATGCTATTTTTGTGCAATTCTGAGATGTTTTTTTTAAGTGAAATAGGTCGACGTGTACATGGATACCGTGTATGTGCAATTCAAAAAACGGGGCAAGCAGGGGGCGATTCTGCACTTTCTCCCAATTTCGCACCTAATCTTCGTCATGATTAAGCACTTTTGTTCCATAAAAGTTCTAGCATAAGCGTAATTTGGCTAGCAGATTGTTAAAAAAAATGTTGGGAAAAAAAAAAAAAAAAAAAAAAAAAAAAAAAAAAAAAAAAAAAAAAAAAGAAAAAAAAAAAAAGAAAAAAAAAAAAAACCCTTTACTTGTGAAAAAAAAAAAAAAAAAAAAAAAAAAAAAAAAAAAAAAAAAAAAAAAAAAAAAAAATAAAAAAAAAAACAAAAAAAAAAAAAAAAAAAAAAAAAAACAAAAAAAAAAAAAAAAAAAACAAAAAAAAAAAAAAAAAAAAAAAAAAAAAAAAAAAAAAAAAAAAAAAAACATAAAAAAAAAAAAAAAAAAAAAAAAAAAAAAAAAAAAAAAAAAAAAAAAAAAAAAAAAAAAAAAAAAAGAAAAAAAAAAAAAAAAAAAAAAAAAAAAAAAAAAAAAAAAAAAAAAAAAAAAAAAAAAAAAAAAAAAAAAAAAAAAAAAAAAAAGAAAAAAAAAAAAAAAAACAAAAAAAAAAAAAAAAAAAAAAAAAAAAAAAAAAAAAAAAAAAAAAAAAAAAAAAAAAAAAAAAAAAAAAAAAAACAAAAAAAAAAAAAAAAAAAAAAAAACTAACAGGTTGCTGTAGCAGGGTTGGTCGCCAAATTTTCACCAAAAAATCGCCAAGTTACCATAATCCGAAGATTAACCGAAACTAATGTAATGCTAACTAAACTAAAATTAGCAGAAGCTGCATAGCAATAACTAACAGAGTTGGCCCTTACTAAAGAACACAGACGAATGCTAGCAGGCACATAACAGTACGGCGGAAAAATCTTAAGATTAGACTTAAAGCAACAACGTGGAAAGAAGACTCTACTAAGAACTTCTATGCTCTTCTACTGAAGTGACAGAGACTTCAACTTACATACTGGTTTCTACTTCATTCACCTAAAAAGCGATCCTGGAAACTCATTCTGGTACGGAACAGTAGGTGGGTCATAAGAAAGCAAAGGAAAGCATGTTCAAAAATAAAAATAACTATCAGGAAATTAAAATAACCCCCACATGTTTCTTATATTAAATGTAATTATAAGTATATATATAATGAGGATGATTGGATATATTATTTGCTATAAAAAATGTAATTAATGGATTCCAGGCTTTAGTGACGGTAAGCAATCCTGCCTTATTTCAGTTTCAAAAGTGCAAGTCAAATTAAGGAGAAGAGTGGAATCAAACAGAATCATTTCCATGATCATGCAAATTACAGTACTTAATGTCATAATAAGTAAATTAAAGAACTTGACAGAAGCAGAGCTTTTCAATGATTTCTCGGGAACTGCATTTATAATGATATTTTATTTCCGAAATCTCTAATATTCATATAGAGTCACAGCTTGATTAGTTGGAAAGTTATAATTCAACTAGAAGCTGTTCAGGTATAGATAACCTCTTTAAACATCGAATAATTTTAACATGTTCAAAAGAAATTTTCTTATCAATACCTCTCTTCCTCTTTAGTGGCAAAATAATGTTCCTGCAAGTACGCATATAGAGCTCATAATGCAGTATGGTTTTATGTAAAATTCTACAGAGACTAATGTTAAAATTTATAATATTGAGAACTAGAATTTTGATTATTTAAATGCGTTTGCAAAATACACTCCTCCTAAAAAATAAGCAACAAAGGCAAATCAGGACATAAAACAAAACTATTCAATGGATATGCGTGAATTTGATCCAAGAGGTTGGTGTGGCATTACTAGACCATACAGCAAACAATAAAGCAAAGACATACAAAAACACATGTATCACGACCATCACATCGCGAAATACCAAATGGGTCGGAAGAATGTGCACTAGAAACATCAAGCTAATAACGGGTATGATATCCTCTAGCTGACATACATGCTTGACAACAGCAAGGCAAGCTGGAAATAGTGTCGTTGATAGCTTGTTGTGAGAGTAGCGTCCATTCCTGTAGTAATGCATGTCGGAGCTCGTAGAGGGTGCCTGGTGGTACACTGCGACCTATTATCTGTCTTCCGAACATTTCCCACACATGCTCTGTGGCATTTAAGTCCCGTGATCTAGTAGGCCAAGGCAGATGTGGAATGGTTCGCTCTCCAGATAGCTCAGTGCCACTTGAAGTGTATGTGGGCGGGCGTTATCGTTCATAAATATAGCGTCGGTACGCACTGCAGCGATGACGGTGTAGAATTTCGTCGCGATATTGGACGGCTGTGACGGAAGTACCGGGAGTCACTGTACCACAGAGGTTGGTCCGGCTGTTCATTGCTATCCCAGCCGATACAAGTAAGCCTTCTCCTCTGTAATAGTCTTTTTAGATGATGCTTGGCGTCCGATAGCGTGTCCCTGGCTCTCGTCATATCATTGCCCTTCGGGAATTGTTCTGGAAGTTAAATTGAGACTCGTTCGTAAAGAGTACATGGTCCCACTGCTCTGGTATTCAACTGTGATGCTCATGGGCCCAATTCAACTGCGCTTTGACATGCGATGGGGATAAAGGAACACAAACCACAGCTCGTCGAGCACACATTCCACCTTCATGTAGTCGTCTACACTGTTTAGCGGGATATGTGCCGTCCTGCAGCAGCAGAGAGATGCGACGTTAGCAGTCGAGCTGTTAGTGATCTACGGCGTCTTGCACATAGTAATAGAAAGCGATCGTCTTGTTTTTTGGTAATCCTCCGGCGTCCAGACTCACGTCTTCTACAGGGTTTTGATCCCTTTGGTAACAATATCACAGCCTATTATTGACACTACGATGCACATCAAGCTCTCTCGCTACAACGAATTGTCTTGCAACAACATCCAATGCCCTCCAATGCATTTCATAGTGCAAATGGCGTCTTCGGGTCATGCTTTCCGCTTTGGCTATCTCAGATTGTATGGAACTATCGCTGCTTGAGGACTGACGCATAGGTCCGGCATGCCTCATTTTAACGCGTAGTGGTGGGACTGCGGGATTACGTTTTATGCTAATTTTAGATGCCTATTTGCATTCGGCGATGCAACCTCTACCTTATATGTAAACTGTATATCTTAAATTCCCTTTTTACATTTGTACATTTTCTTTCAGCATCTGTTGCTTATTTGTTGATCACGAGTGTATAAAAGGAATGGAATGAGTAACAAGAATGAAAATTTAATTTTTGAGTTTCATTAAACAAAAAATTAACAACTATTTGGCAAGTAATAAAGCTTTCAAAAAAGGAAAATGAATGTCATTTAAAAAATAAACTAAAGTTATGTTACTATATCAGACAAAGACAGACAAACCTAAAGATATGCTGCTTTCCAAAAGAGGGAGAAATTTAGCTATTTGTGAAGAAATTTGATCTGGTTTGCATGAACTGTCTTCTTGAGTTGATCCTTCAATGTCTTGTAGGTCAATACTCTGCCTGAAAAAATATCTGCAGTCAAAAAGACAAAATTGTGTCAGAAGTTTTAAAATAGCCTCGTACAAATTTACAAACAGATATTTCAGATATATATTCATTTATAAGAGAGATATACAGCGTGTTCAGATTTTATTAGGGACACCATCATAGCGGTATTCTAGTGTAATTTCATTAGCAGATTTATGAGGATTTACTTGAACAAAGGTGTAACGATAAACGATCTCATAAAAGATGTCTTAGCATAACGGCGTTTAAGTTAAGAAAACTACATAAAAATTTCTAATCTCAAAAATCACATCTAATTTCATAAAAACTATATTGCGCTAAAATGTTAATCACTATATTTGTTAATTATGCAAATTCTATGTATCTGACTTCTGCTAATATGAAATTTTATCATGATTATTTAAATTCTTGACATCATATCCTCTAATCAAATATCTGATGTGGATACCAAATGACTTCCTTATACGGTTTATTAAATTATATACATTTTTTGCTGCACTTCATGCAAACTTATTATCTCGAATTATTTAGTCATCAATCCCTCAAGGCAAGTTGAAAATAACATCAGAAACTGTAAATTTTGAAATTAAATGTCCCGGTTAGTTTTTGTCGTACGGGAATAAAACTGTTTATAATTTTATTTTTCATAACGAGTATAAAACTTTCCCAGATATAAGTATAAAAACCAGGAGATGCATTAAATTTCGTTATCTGTCGCTTTTTTTTTTAAATTTGACATCGCCAGAACATTAATGTTTTCGTCATTCAAAACACTCCTGCAATTGAAAGTATATGACTACGACCAACGATTGCGAAAATAAAGAGATCGAAGCTGTATAAATCAGAAGTTTTACCCATACTAGTAATGAAATGACTGATTAATATATATACGTTTGGAACTGCCGATTGCGAGAAAATAGAAGATGCGCAAATGGATGTTATAGCAATCCCATAAATAAAATTTTAACGTTTTACGCTAACTGTTTTCGAGTCATTCGAAATACATACATATGTGCCCCCAAACGTTACGAAAAAGTCTCTTTTGAATCCACTTTAAATCACTTTTGGAAAGTCCTTTATTCTACGCGTAAGTACCCCCCCCCAAAAAAAAAAAAAAATGTTAAAATGGATTCGAGAACGGCAAAAATTTGGGTTGAAATGTGCAACACGAAATTTTTCGCGATTGCAATATTTCCTTTACTTCGTTCAAAGAAGTAAAAATGCTAATAAAATAAATTAACTTTCCCCTTTTTCCTTCTACATCCTTCTGTTTTAAGAGTTTGTTTTAAAATTTTAATGCTATGTAAAGGTAAGCGACCTAGTTTTAAATATGTAAGGATTCAGTTATTCATTTCTGGAAAACTTTGTCTTCGGAGGGTTACAGCCGAAAACATCGCGGACGAAAACGTCGCAGAGAAAACAAAACAACGCAAAAACATCTTGGGAGAAAACATAGCAAAGAGAAAGCACCGCAGTTCTAAAACATCGTGATACAAAATATCGTGGTCGAAAATAAAGCGGTTCAAAAACTTCGCAGTTTAAAAACATCGTCGTCGAAAATATCGTGGTAAAAAATAAAGTATCTACAAATCATCGCATGACGATACATCGCAACATGCTTTTTTCAGGCTTTAATAATTGTAAATGGATATTTCCATAATGTTTTGTGAGCGCAAGATGAAAAGAAGGATAATTCTTACTTTCATATTTTTTATTAACTAATAAATTTTTGCTGAAAAAGTAAGAAGGAAACTTAAGCATAGAAAATTAAGGCAACTTATAGCACTTAATAGAATTTTAAACTGACATAGTTAACTAACAAAGGTCATTAACAAATAATTTTTTATAAAGTTTTTACTGGTAATTTTTCATTAAAAGTATAATCTAAAAAAGATTAGAAAAAGGAAGTTAAGTAACTGCCTGACCTTATTCATAAAAAATTGCTAAATTAATTATGAGATTATTTTCTTCACTTTTGTCAATCTAATATTCTTACAGTGAAAATTATTTCTTGTTGTGCTTCAGTTTATTCTTAAATATTAAGTTTCCTTCTTACTTTTTCAGCAAAAATTTATTAGTTAATAAAAGATATGAAAGTAAAAATTATCTTTCTTTCCATCTCGCCTCACAAATCATTATGGGCATATCCATTTACAATTATTAAACCCTGGAAAAAAAAAAGTATGTCTGCGACGTTATCGTCTTGCGATGATTTCTCGATACTTTATTTTTTACCGCGATATTTTCGACGGCGATTTTTTTAAACTGCGAAGTTTTTGAACCGCTTTATTTTCGACGACGATATTTTGTACCACGATGTTTTAGAACTGCGATGTTTTCTCGCAGGATGTTTTGTAGCACGACGTTTTCGCCTTGCGTTGTTTTCTCCGCAACGTTTTCGTCCGCGATGTTTTTGCCGCGATATTATCGGGGGACACCCTTCAGAGAAAATCAGAACTATCAAAATTATTTGTAGTTAACAGAAGAATTACCCTTTTCTCTCTATTAAATTCCTTTTTCCATTCATTTTTCACCGAGGTTAAATCCGTATATTTTTTCTCGCTTTATAGCACAGTAAAATATAGAAGCATAAAATAAAACACAATGCTTCCTAAGAGGCGGATGTGTGCCTACTTAATAGGCAAAAATATGCTTTAGTTGAATAAATTAAGTTTCCAAGCAGAACTGCTTAATTTCCAAATGAGTTAAGAAACTGTACACACGCGCACAAACATATATACGTGTGTGTATGCATGTCATATATATGTGTATACATGCGTGTGTGTATGTATGTCAAAGATAATTTTTGCACATACCATCATGTTACACCTATCAAATTATTATGAAAAATCTAACGTAGAGATAGATGCTTATTTATCAAATTATTTTCATTAAACTAAGAATGTATGACGAAAGCAAAGTAATTCTTTTTTTTTAATTAATTAAGAATATTCTGTTGCAATACAAGGTCACACAAACTGCATTTATTTAAATTTGTTTTTAAAACTAAATTAAATACAGTCTAATGTCAACTGACAATTTGCATGAGAATAAAGCTCATAATAGGAATAATATAAAAATTAAACTAATTTTGAAAGTATATGTACAAATTAACCTATAAAGGAAAAAAGCATGTAGAGTACCTAAACTGGATATTGTCTCAAACTTCTGGGTACACTTTATTTTAAATTAGAAAAATGCCTTTGTTAATCGAAGCAATATTTAAACTTTTGAAACAAATTTTAATTTCCTTGGGATCATTTTTATCACAATGAAAAAAATATGCCAACTCTTGTACTTAATTTATCATTAATTTTAATACACTTTAAAGAATTTCATTGGAAAATTTCTTTACAAATAATGTGAAATATCCACAGCTTTAAAACACCTTTCTCATTCATGCACGCACATAAGGCAGGCTGATGCCAGAGGCGGTGCAACCGGCGCGGTCTCCCACGGCGGTAAAATTGATGAGTGGCAAAAATTTTACATTTTGAGAAGTAACCTGCAGTAAAATTTAGAGATGGCAAAATATTTAGAATCTGGGAAGGTGCCGGGCAGCAGAATATAGGGCGCGCAGTGGGGTCAGAATGTTTAGGGCCAGCTCTGCAAATAAAAAAAATTTTTTTTACAAGCAAGAAATCATCAAAACATTTATCAAGCATTATGTAATTTATAATCCTAGCATAAAATTGATAAAGATATTTTTCTCCACTCTGCAGTTTATGTAGAGACTTTAGAGATTTAGTTCCTTTTAACTACAGAAATAAAACGATATTCTAACCTTTTTATTGATAACTCCCTTATTTCTTGTTCATCATCTTGTTCTGCACCTGTTTGGCATGAAAAATAGCAGTTTCCTTCTGTTGGTGAGAAACAATTAGCAGGAATAGCAATTTCTTCTTTATATTTTGAGCCATTTTCCGAATACTCTTCTCCATGGGTTTTGTGCGAAATATCTTCATCTAAAATAAGAAACTGAATAGCTTATTAAATGCTTACATGGAAAATAAGAAAAAGTCATTTAAAATTTGCAAAAGAAATTCGTAAATCAATGATAATAATAATTTGTAAATCAGTTATGATAATCTACATAAAAAAATAAATAGATAAGTAAATATATGCTTTCTGCAGATTTTAGAATCAGTTACATAATCATATAAGTTATGAAGTGACGTTTATTCATGTAAGAAGATTCAAATAAGAAGGAAATTGTGTATTCTCTTCATAATTCAGAAGAACGATAAGTGTATAAGAAGAAAGGTCTTATGATCTTGAACTCTCAACATTCTTCAAAAATAATTTCGGAAATAATCGAAGAAGATGCCAGTGGTGTTAGGGAAGAAAAAAAGGAAAAAAGGGGGAAAAAGGTTTGCTAAATTGCTTATATACAGAAATAAAAAGAGATAAAACTAAAAATATTTGGCTTTTTAAGTGCTATATATTTCGAGATTTTCTGAATTTCAATGAATGCTGATTTAGTTGACTTTTTAAAGTACATTGGCACAGTTGTATAAATCCTGATCATTTTAATCTCTTAAATATTATTTATTTATAGGTTAATAATACCTATGTTAATAATACCTTTTGATGTAAGTATACTCACATGTTATAGGTGGAAGTCCTACAAAATCTGATTCTGACTGCTTTTTCAGACGTGAATCTCTAAGTTTAGGTGGTTGCATGGAAGATTTTACAACAATTGGCTCCAATTTGATATTCGAATCTCCCTTCAAAACCAAAAATATAGAATATTTTAAGAGCTAAAAATAACTGTAGTTTGAAAATTTATAAAACTTAAATTTAAAATTCTCATCTACTTAAAAAAATAATTGGTTTTAAAAGTAAACATAATGGACAGCTTTCTTTATAGTATTACAGCTTTTTCAGAAAACCGATCCCTCAAAATTGAATTTCTGAATTGCTAATAGCTATTTATAATTGAACAATAAGTAAATTAACATAATAAGACTTAGCATACATTGATGGAATTCAGTTTAATTATCTCAATGTATTCTGTGGGTTATGGATTACTATCAAATTCTGCAGAAATTTATTTTATCATATACTTTTTAAAGCTTTCATGATTCCCTATTCTTTCCTAGATTATATCACAGCAGTGGTTGATAACAACTTTTTCTTAAAAAAAATCCGAGATAGTTTATCTTAATTTGCTTTTGAGAAAGAAATATGATAACCTTATGATCTCAATGAATTCTAGTGAACCTGGCACATTTTTAATACTTTGTGATGTTTTAAACAATCTGTAATACAAATGCAAAAAATAATTTACATTGTCAGTTTTTTGTTTTGAGTCATGAAGTAATATAGTTTAACTTTAATTAGCATAGAAAAAGGTATGCATTCTTAGCGTAAGTCAGAAAAAAATATTCTTTTGGTTAATTTTAGTGGAGTAAATGTAAAAACAAGTGTATTTAGCTTTTGAACTTAAATAGATAAAATTAATTTCACTGCTTTGTTTTATTTGAAATAAAAGCAAGTTTTCTTGTTTAAGAAAATTGAAAGCAATTTCCTTAGGTTAAATTTATTGGAAAACATATAATCTGCATATCATATAAATATCTTTTTTTTTAATTGTAGATGCAAAATACCATATACAAAAAAGACATTTTCTACGGTACATACATATTTAGCATCAGAAAATTAAATACAGATATATATATAATCCATATATATATCTGTATTTAATTTTCTGAATATACAGAGGTGGATTGTGCTCCCAGTTAGACCAAACATTTGGAATTCAATTGTATACGTTTTATAACTTAAAAAGAATATACACTCCTGTCAAATTTATATTTACATATCCAAAAATAATGACATCCCAAAAATATGTAATCCATTTTTTTTTTCAGGGAAATATATGAAAGACAAGCCTAATTAACATTATCCAATCATAAATAATCAAACGGTTTTTTCTGATATGCAAGTCAAGGCGTTACATCACCTGACAGTAAAACAAGCACTTGGTACAAAGCGAATATCTGAGTTAATTTTTCCATTATAGCTCTTGATTTCAGTGTGCAAGGAGTCAAAATGGTTTTTTATGGCTTTGAAGTATCATTTGGGAGAATTTGTGAAATGACGAATCAAAGATCACTTAGAAGTAAGGCAGATAATAATGGAGGCAGTGTGATGTACGAATAGGACGCGGTCTTAACCCGTTCGTGACCAAGGTCGCGTGGACGCAACGCAGCGATTCCACTCTTATCAGCCCAGCGTCGCTTCCACGCGAAGAGCTGATATGGAGAGACCAGCGTCGCGTATGCGTAATCGGAAATCGGAACGTTTTATTTGAATTTTTAAATGCTACTAGATGGCGTTAAACGGCAACGGTTTTCACAACGGTCGACTCATATGGTATTTGACCCTCATGAACGGGCATTGGTTTCTGTTCTATGCTTCTGTATTTGATATATTTATTGATGTAAACAAAGTGAGAATCACGGCTCTTAAAGGGCTGGGATTTATTGCTCGCTGTGTTTATATTTTGACAGATTGTGGAAATTTATGGAACGTTTATTAGTTGAAATGTTGGAGTAGAATTGCGTTTGTCTTTTGAGGTTTGACAGAGCGAGATTTCGAAATAGATGAATTAATCAAATAGTGAAATGGAAGAAAGAATTTCTTCTAGTTAATATAAACAAACTGGGAAACACGGGTGTTTGAAAGGGCACGTGTGAGTTCAAGTGACTTGTTTATTGCTTTGTTTTTTTCATTAGGAGAATATGGGGGAGTACATTCAGCGGATTAGCAACGGGTAAGAGTAAAATATTTATGTTCGGTTTTGGCGCCGTGTCAGATCCAGAGTTATTCATCAAATAATAGGAAAATTCGCTAAACCAAGGAGCTCAAAAACTTGTTCAAAATTACCGGGCATTCAACCATTTCGTCTAACTGGTAGACATTTTCCAAAAATTTATATTGATGGGAAAGGAAATTAAAGTAGAAGAAGATGTGTCGTATGTGCTAAAAAAAATCGAAAACAAACATCATATTATGAGTGCAAAATATGCAATGTTGGACTCTGTGTGGATCCTTGTTTTGAACTATATCACACACAGCAGAATTTTTAAATTTCGATTTTATTCAGAATATATTATTATTCTTAATTTCCTCTTTTTTATTTTGTGTTTGTAATATTTGCAGCTTTGTTTTATTGTGTATAGTATTTGTTTTCATGCGCATAGTAATAATTTTAGTTTTTTGCATATTTCATTCATTTGTATTAACGTTATATTTTTATTTTAATACATATTAAATAGAAGTATAGTATATATATAATTTATAAATTTGGAGTCTTTTTATTAAAATGCTGATTTTATACGAATTTTTTTGTAAACTTAGGCTTAACTGCTTAAAATGCGCGGGCCGGTAGTGACGCTCCGTTTCAGAGCGTTCGGTCCCGTGACTGAGTTTTATTTCCGGCGCGCTGGTCCTCAAGGGGTTAAACGAATAACTACTCAAAACTGATATCTGGAAAAAACTACCCTTCGTAACAGCAAATCTACTGTTCGGCAGTTATATTCATAGCTTGAAACTGCCTCTGGAACTGTTGCATCGCGGCAAATTGTAAACAGAAGCCTTAATGAAAAAGACCTTTATGTCAAAAAGCCAAAGGTATGTGTTTCATTATCTTCACAACAAAATACAGAGTGCTTTAATTTATGCAACATCAGAATTATGTATCATTCTATCCAAATTTATAAAATTATCGCCAACAATTCTGAGAAATCTGTGATTTCATACACATAAAGATAATTATGGGCAGGAGTATATAACAATTCCGGTTCAACCCCCTTCTCCGCACTTTGGTAACATTTACACTAATCGCCATACAGCGACGCTGGTTGTCTAAATGCTATCTGCCAGTCTCTGGGGCTGCCCGTCGTAGAAAAGCATTACCCAGCGAACTCGGGAGCTACCCTCGGTCTACTAGAGCCACTCTGCTCTAGGACACGCCAGACCACCGGGCAGGCCAATAAGTGACTTTTCCGGGACTTCCAGAACCACTAGATTCATAAATTTTATACCCCCGTGGCCGAGACTGCCTAGGTACAGATTTCTTAGCCAGTAGCTTCGCAGAGTTCTCTACGTAGACCCCATGGAGGTAGGAAGTAAGATGGAGTAGCCCTAAACAGGTTTCTTCCGTACCCTGCTCTGAAGCACTGGCGACTAGTACGTGGTGACCAAAAAATTGGGTCCTTTACTATTAAGTTCAATGGGTTTTGACGCGATCGGATGTAAATATTTTGTAATTACGTCGTAAATATACATATAAATGTGTATATTTTCTTTTTCTACAACACTTCAGAGTCCTAAGTATATGAAAACAACATATTTTTAACATTTCATTCTGAACGGAATTAAATGTTATACTTTTCCCAGAACAGTTTTCTCAGAATGGTTTAATTTGAATGAAATATTTTCACAAGTTTTCGTTAATTCCATTAGAAAAAAAATTAAGGTAATTCGATTTTATTCAGTTAAGGTACAAAAATTAAGATCAAAGTTTATTGTATTATTAATATTAAAATTATGCATTATTTCTTTTCTATTTATAGAGCTTCTTCCTAAAATACTTTCTTAAATATGACATGATTTTTTGGCTTCTGAGGCATCTTTTAAATCGAAAAATATAAGTCAATTTATAATTAATGCTCTATTCGGTTCATTTTAAATTAGAGAATTATTAGAAATTACCGAAATACTTTAAATAGTACTTAACTTTCTCTGAACATTTCTGAAAGGGAATAAAATAAGTTTCTTGTGTTAAGTATTATTTAAAACTTGTAACTGAGTTATTATAAAATGTAAGGGGAATAATTCTTTTAATTATTCTTATCAGATATTTTACCCTTAATTTCAACAATACATATTCCAAAACTCTTTATTACTTTCTTACTCTTTATTATATTACAAGTGTGTGGTTCCAAATCAAGGGAAAGCTAACTTATTGGCATATCTGTGTGTATATTTATTAATTTTGACGAGTTTTGCAGCATTTGATGGTAATTTTATTTTTAATTAACCTAAATAACTAAAACGTGTAAGCCCAAAGTGATTATTTTTCAGATATATAAAATTAAAACGATGAGTTTAAAATGAGCCTTTAAAGCCTCTCCTGTAAAAAATTTTAAAAGCTACATGTTACAATAATATATGGATGTGAAAAAAATTTATTTTATTTAAAACATTTTGGCGTTTGAAACATAAAATAAAAGTAGCGAATACTCTATCAAGGGTATCGAAAGACGTATACAATTTTAAAGGTACCATAAGATATTTTTCATTCTTTAAGCATAACATTTTTGTTAAAAATCTATATTTTTGTAGTTCAACAGCTTAGAATTTTATAAAACAAATTCATAATCAAAATCGCTGTTGTTAGTTATCGAAAAATAACCAAGATGTGATTTTTGCGTAAATGTCACTAAACTATACAAATTGCTATTATCATTCACACTATGAATGTTTCTTTCATGCGAAAGTGTCCCTTTTTCGATTTGTATGGAACTGTCGTGTGTCGAAATACTATCAGAACACTGTCAAGCGAGCTTCTGAATGTAAACAAAGAACACCCCATTTGGTGACCGAAGCTTCGAAGCAGTGCTTCACTTCTAGCGCCGGTTGGCCACTCCTTCCTTTCCTACCTCCATGGGTAGACCCTCAGGAGGGGGGGGGGAAGGGAAGGGTGAAAGCAAGTGCGTTATGTTCAGAGTGAAATCTTAATTCAGACTGAGTTAGTTTTGGTTCTCAATGCATTTTGATTGGATGGTTAATATTGCTATATTAAAATTACTATTGCTGTTTGAGTTTTAGTTTCATTTACATCATCAGAATTATGTAAAAATCATATGACATAGATTTTTCTCGAAATGACGCAGTGCAAATAGAGGTTACTATTTTTAGAATACAGAAGGGAATTAATTTTCAATGCTAATTTAATCTTTTACATATTCTTTATTTTTCTTACATATATATAATCAATTATAGTAAAAAAGGTATATATATGTGTGTGTGTGTGTACGTGTATGTGTACATAGATTTACAGGTATTTTTATGTTATTTAACCAGTTATTTATAACGTCAGCCTTTGCTGTAACTTCTCCTTTCCGTATTCCTCACCAGAATGCAAACAGATAGCCAATATTTAAGCTGAGGTTTCTGGATTTTATGACAGAGCGTGTTTCTGGCATCGAATGCTCGCTACGGTTGGTAGTTTCCTGGCAAGTACGATATTCGTAATTATTCAGCCTTTCGTTGCCGACACTTAAATTCTGACACTTAGAATAGTAAGCCAGCTTCTAGTATAGTACCTAATTTTGCAATCCTTGACTACTGTTCAACCGTTTTAATTAATCTGCAGTGTTCTATTTTATTTTGTATCATCACGAGTTGTAGAAATTGTAGCACGAGAGAGAGACTTTTTGTTTTGACTTCTGTTTTAATAAAAATGTTACTTTTTCCTCACGTCATTACTTCAGACATAGTGATTGTTCACTTCACTTCACGTCTGTAAGGGTTATTGGATGTTATTAGATGAAAAGAAACTCTACACAATATTAAATTTATATAATATTCATCAATTTGTCCAGTTTCAAGAAAATCCCGTCAAACAGACTTGGCAATTAAATTTTGCGCCATTTGTGTATTTTGATAGCTAAATTCTGGATTCTACTTTGTAAGCCATTAAAGAAATAAGGCACTAAGTGAAAATTAACGGGTAAATTTGTAGAGACATTAGGTATTTTTGGAAGCAGGAAGTCTTCGCCGGGAATCGAACCACGGACCTCTGAAATATGCAACCAGCGTGCACACCACTACACCACGAAGGTGGGTGAAATATCCTTATATACTCCCCCTTTTAAAGGACGACTGGGGTTTTTAGGGGACCCAATCATCAAATCCTGGGTGTGGAAAACGATCATCCACCAGCCTTTTAGTTCGGGCGCTACTGTAGAGACATTGGGTTATTTTTAAAGCAGGAGTGATGAAAAATGAGCAGTGCCTTCGGCGGGAATCGAATCACGAACCTCTGGATACGCGCCGAGCGTGCAGACCACTACACCATGAAGGCACGCTAAGAAGGCGGAAGAAATACCTTATATACTTCCGCATCCCTGTTTGAAAGCAGGCAAGATGAAAAATAAGCAACGCCTTCCCTGGGAATCGAGCCACGGACCTCTGGATACGCTCCCAACGTGCAGACCCCATACGCCACCAAGGCACTCTAAGAAGGGGGAGAAATACCATATTTATAAAATTTAAGGAGCTGTCAATATAATGACCTAGTAAAATAGAAGAAAGGAATCAACTAATGAAGAGTAAACTCAAATTAATTTATGGTCAGATAGAATATTAATTAAGACACTGACAAAAATTAGCAAACCTCCTTCTGTATTCTCACTGATGTATAGTGTGGGTCTCCCAGGAATCCTTGCTTATATGAAAATAAATTTATAAGGAATGACAGCGATTTAGGAATAGTAATTCAAGCTAGAAAATTAATCAAATGCCTATAAATATATCCTACACACTAGGCAATAAAAGAGAAAATTTCAAATGTATTTAATGATTCATTCATAGTAACTGATTAATCAATGTTAAATAATTAACTCATTTATAAGGTATTTCTCCCGCCTTCCTAGCGTGTAGTGGTCAGCACACTTAGCCGGTATTTCAGAGGTCCGTGGTTCGATTACCGACGAAGGCGATTGTTCGTTTTTCATCTTGCCTGCTTCCAAAAAACCTAATGTCTCTACAGTGGCGCCCGAACTAAAAGGGTGTTGGATGATAATTCTCCTCACCCAGAATTTGGCGATTGAGTCCTCTAAAAGCCCCAGTCGCCCTTTAAAAGGGGGAGTATATAAGGTATTTCTCCCGCCTTCCTAGCGTGCCTTCGTGCTGTAGTGGTCAGCACACTGAGCCGGTATTTCAGAGGTCCATGGTTCGATTCTCGGCGAAGGCGATTGCTCATTTTTCATCTTGCCTGCTTATAAAAAAAATCCTAATGTCTCTACAAATTAATCAAAAAGGAATTTTAAGAATTGTGTTCTAGTTATTAAATGCCTTTTCTATGCCATAATAGTAAAAAATTCAAGTGATAATTAAAATTAAATGTTCATACCATATTGAAAGAAAGCCAAAGGTTAATATTTTAGGAAGGCAAAGCTTTTTGATGTTTTGAAAAACAATACCTTTATAGTCTGCAGAGAAGATACTTTTGTACTTGTTATGTGAGAGTCTTCTTCATTTTCAAACTGCAGTGACCTCAAACTTCAAACAAGATAAATATGTAATAAAAATATAATACATTTTGTAATAAAATTTTAATAATTCAGTACTAAGAAGAACAAACTGAAAAATTCATTATAACTGAGCAAACAAGATATTTGAATACACTTTTGATTGCATAATTTCACCATAAACTTATAATTCCATATCTATTTTGAATATTCGACTATATTACAAAGACTAACTAGCTATACATTAACATATACGTGCGTTCATAAAATCTCACTGCAGTACAACAGCTTTCGTTAGTAAATAGTTCAGAATAAATTTATGATATTAGTTTGATGAATAATAAAATAAAGTGTTTTAAACTAAGTTTTGGTGAATAAAAAAGCTTTAATTTCGCGCCTCTCGTACTTTAAGAAAATTCTTTTTCCTTGAAATTCTTTAGGCAATCTTTTAGAAAATCTGAAAGAATTTATATTTTTAAAGATAAATTTATGCATATAATTTAGTGTTTTTATCAACATATGCATTAAATTTTTGAATAATCTTCTTCATTTGAAAACATCTTGATTTAATCCACATACCCTGAAGGTGAATATTCTAGAGAACAAAACCTACTCTTTATAGTTATAAAAATTCCTCCTATGAGTAAAGATTCTAATCTTAACGATAACCATAGAAATTTCCTTTCTTTGATGAAAAATACCAATTCCAAATATGAATAGAAAAGAATTAAAAACATTTTATATTTAAAATATCAGCATTACAGTGCCCATGAACTGGAGACATTGAATGAAACTGAAGACGGAAAATAATTCTACAAGCTACTTTTTATTTCTTCTTAAATGCTATAAACTAAGTTAGGGAAAGGAAAAATCAAATATATATATGTAGTAATTTTAGTGGAAGATAAAACCAATTGCATAGCAGTCGTGGTGGAGACGGAAATAGGAGATAGCTGGAAACTATTGTGAAGAGGGAACGATGGAATTTCAGACAAGCGCACGGAATTCAACACATAATTTATTCCTGGACAACGTTGGTACATCTTTTCAATCACATCCTCAATTTCTTAGGATATATTTTTGACTGATGTAACACTGGGAGTGCTATAAGTGCCCCACAATTTTGAATACACAGCTTTCGGGATTCTTTATTTAAATCCTGAACAGCGACAGAAGAAGAATTTCCCCATTGCGGATGCCTGTAGATAAGTGACGCAAAAGAGAGCTTTTTACGAGAGTTTTATTTAAATTAAAATTATGGATTAAAAGGTAAAATGTTAATTAAGTTAGTAGCATTTTTAATAGTGACTGTATTTCAGTGACTGACGAATATGTATGTATATCAATAAACATTTGATACAGTTGAGCATATAAAGATATATACAGATAATTCATATCGACTTGAAAAGCCTCCATTTTTTATTAGTAAGCTACATTTTGACATACTATGTAAAATATTATTCGTTCATTAATTATATTAGATATTAGTAAAATGAAATTTTGATTTAATTAAATGATACTAATTCAGAAGTCAAACAACAAAAATCAGCGTTAATTTACAAAATTTCACAGGACTAGTTTCGATGGTTTTACCGAACCATCATCTTCAGCTGCAAAACCGCAAATGAACAAGATAGGAAATAATGTTTAGATAAGATAAGAAAGCCCGAACAAGAATAAGCAAGTGGCGCCATCTGTTGGCGAAACCAGAACTAAAACATAATTTCTCTAAAAGCCGAAGGCAAATTTGGATTGGAATTAGGATCGTTAACTAGAACAGAAAGATTTTTATGAATGTGAAATGCCTCTAGAAAATCCAGTTCTCCAATGGAAGATGTTTTTTGAATAATTTTGGCAGCAGAAAAATTGAAAGTGTGATTTTCGGACCAACAATGTTGAGCAACAGAAGACTTCTGTGTTTCCTTTTTTCTAACATATGCCTCATGTTCTTTGACGCGAAATTTTAAGGCTCTCTTAGTTTGGTAAATGTAAATTAAACCGCACTGGCAAGGAATCCTATAAATACCCCAGGAATTCATATCCGGAATGGGGTCCTTGAGTATAGAAGTTGGAATTTTATTGATGGGAGAGTAAACAACCCGAAAGTTAAATTTCTGCAAAATATGTGCAACTTTATAGCTAATTGATGGAAAGAAGGGAATGACAACAGAATTTTTATAATCTCCTAAAATAAGAGTGTGGCTTTTAGTGTGTTGAGATGAGAATTTTTTAACTGCTTGATTAATAATGTTGGGTGAAAGCCCCTGTCAATAGCTATTGCTTTTAAATAATTTAGTTCTTCATCAAGGGCTAGTTTGGAGGAGCAAACTTGAAGAGCACGGAAAACATAGGAATAAAATGAAGCTAACTTTTGTTTAGTCGGATGACATGATTTAAAGTGTGGTGGAAGGCAAACCGATGAAGGTTTACGGTAAACTGTAGTACTGAAGTTGGATGTGTTACGTGTGACCAGAATGTCGAGAAACGGAAGAGAATTGCAAGTCTCAAGTTCAAAGTGAACTGAATAGCAGGATCAACAATGAATTCTATTGATCCTGCTATTCAGTTCACTTTTGAACTTGAGACTTGCAATTCTCTTCCGTTTCTCGACATTCTGGTCACACGTAACACATCCAACTTCAGTACTACGGTTTACCGTAAACCCTCATCGGTTTGCCTTCCACCACACTTTAAATCATTGTCATCCGACTAAACAAAAGTTAGCCTTCATTTTATCCCTATGTTTTCCATGCTCTTCAAGTTTGCTCCTCCAAACTTATCCCTTGATGAAGAACTAAATTATTTAAAAGCAATAGCTATTGACAGGGGCTTTTCACCCAACATTATTAATCAAGCAGTTAAAAAATTCTCATCTCAACACACCAAAAGACACACTCTTATTTTAGGAGATTATAAAAATTATGTTGTCCATTCCCTTCTTTCCATCAATTAGCTATAAAGTTGCACGTATTTTGCAGAAATTTAACTTTCGGGTTGTTTACTCTCCCAACAATAAACTTCCGAACTTCTATACTCAAGGACCCCATTCCGGATATGAATTCCTGGGGTATTTATAGGATTCCTTGCCAGTGCGGTTTAATTTACATTGGCCAAACTAAGAGAGCCTTAAAATTTCGCGTCAAAGAACATGAGGCATATGTTAGAAAAAAGGAAACACAGAAGTCTTCTGTTGCTCAACATTGTTGGTCCGAAAATCACACTTTCAATTTTTCTGCTGCCAAAATTATTCAAAAAACATCTTCCATTGGAGAACTGGATTTTCTAGAGGCATTTCACATTCATAAAAATCTTTCTGTTCTAGTTAACGATCCTAATTCCAATCCAAATTTGCCTTCGGCTTTTAGAGAAATTATGTTTTAGTTCTGGTTTCGCCAACAGATGGCGCCACTTGCTTATTCTTGTTCGGGCTTTCTTATCTTATCTAAACATTATTTCCTATCTTGTTCATTTGCGGTTTTGCAGCTGAAGATGATGGTTCGGTAAAACCATCGAAACTAGTCCTGTGAAAATTTTGTAAATTAACGCTGATTTTTGTTGTTTGACTTCTGAATTAGTATTTATTCGGCGTGTCATTGTGTCTTAATTAAATGATATTTAATTAATTGCGAGTATATCTTAAGAACCATTCTTTTTATATCAGAGTGATATAGTTATTTTCAATTTTTGAAATATTTTAAGTGCTCTACGGAATATTCTATAATATTATGTATTTTTTTAATACTTGCAAATGCCATGATTTCTTCAGTTTCAGATATTAAAAATGGGTACTATTCGGTTTCGAGGGCCGTAAAAAATCGCCAAACTATTGTTGATGCCAATGCTGCCAAAAATAATTGCGGCAACCCTAATAATTGCGGCAAGAAAGGAAGTATAATAGTAAATAACTATCTAAGATGGATGTTTTAATTTAGATGAAAGGTTAATTTCATATAATACTTTATTATTATTATAATTTATATAAAAATTGCTAAATATAACTGAATGGATGCCTGCATCGCTATTTCGCTACCGACTTATCGCTAAAGCATAATTTCATCTCGTTGGTTGTTGAAACGTAATTTTCTATAATGAAAGATGCCTTTCTTTGAAAATATTTTCGGTAAGTGCAGAATCGCTCACTTATTTGTTTGCCGCTTTTACAAGGGTAAAAAACAATTGGAATTTTTTTCAATTTTCTTTGATTTTTTAAGTGAAAATAGGTCGATGTGTACATAGATAAAGTCAAGGGTGTGCGCAGTGCCATTTTTGTGCAATTCTGGGATTTTTTTTTTAAGTGAAAATAAGTCGATGTGCACATGGATACCGAGTATGTGCAATTCTAAGAAACGCGTCAAGCAATGGGTGATTCTGCACTTTACCCAAAATTCTATTGCCGACTTTTCGTCATGGGCAATTACCAAATTGTTAAATCCATAGGATATCAAAAAAGGATTTAAAATCAAAAAAAGGATTTAAAAATTAAACTAGCATTTCAATGTCGTCTTAAGAAATATAGAACTATACAAACTTACGCAATCTGAAATCAACGCGTACGCTAGATTTGAGGCGCTGTTAAATGGACGCGTTTGCTAGATTTGGCGCTTTTGCGCATACATTTTCGCTGCAATTTTTTTACGGCCCTCAAAACGGAATAGTACCTAAAAATGCAATGATAATAGTAATTTAAAAAAAAAAAAAAAAAAATCTGAAATGTTTCAGATTTTAAATTACGTCCAAAGGGGCGTTTTTTAACATTTTGTGTGTTACCTTTCTTTATTAAATATCATGTTCCTCGCACTTAAACCATAAGATCCAGTGCAACAGCAATATCGCAAAATAGTTTTAAAACGAGCATATCTTTAGAATTTCCGATACAGAGACTCACGCGCTGGAGATAAAAATGTTTTTTCTGCACAACGTTGCCAATTGCTCGCTTTGAAATCCTTAAGTTTGTTAATTAAAAATTCGTCAAAGTTTTAAAAAATAGGAAATCGATCATAAAACAAATTTCAAATTTCAAATTTGGTCTTC